GCCTTGTGTATCCTAGGCAAGCACTCTGCTGCTAACCTATGACCACAGCCCCGGTTTTTGCCTTTTAAACCAATTTTTTTAGTAGAGAGAAGTCAAACATAGGCAAAAATAGAACACAGAAGATCTATCTCCTACTTTCAAAAGATAAGAGTTCACAACCAGCTGTTTCATTGATGTCTGGCTTAGTTACTCTTCTCTGTTTCTGGGACAAAATACCCAACACCCAAAGTTAAAGGTGGGAAGGTTTATTTAGTTCACAGTTTGCAGAGGTTTTAGTCCATAATCCACTGGTTCCAAAGCAAGGTGGCATGTGGTAAACGGCAACAGTTCATGGAGGTGGGAGACAGCAAAAGCATCAAGAAAGGAGGGGAGAGCAAGCCTCTTTCCTTCCCTTAAATTATGTGCAGGTTGTCCACCCTAGGGCAGCTGTAGCACTCACACTCTTGATCCCAGCATTAGACCGTGAGTCAGTTACAAGTTCTAGATTCAGCTGCCTCTGAAAAGCCCCACCATGATCACATGAGGATTTGAGGGAACATCCAGATATAAACTATAACATTCCATCCCTGCCTCGTATCCAAAGACTCATGTACATTCCTTTATGCGTAAGACATTTATAATGTACATCTTTGGTACATCTTTAAGATTTACCAAAGTTTTAACAGTTTCAGCATTGCTAAAAAGTCCAAGTCTGCCTCCACTGAGATTTAAGACAAACTCTTAGCTGTGAGCCCCTGTACAAATGAAAATAAAATTAAACACTTATAATATTCAGTGGCACAGGGAACATTCCATTCCAAAAGTTACAAACAGAGGGATGCAAAGGAATGGGATCAAAGCAAGTCCAAAATTCAGCAGGGAAAACATTAAGTTCTGTAGTTCCATGTATAGCATTTGAGGCAATCTGTGAACCCCAGATGACTTGAGTGGCTTTGCCTCTATGGAACTTACGGTGGTTGTAGCGCCCATGGCTTCTCTCTTGGGCCCACTCTGCTCTCTTCTTTGTAGCTTTCCTTAGATGATCCACATTTCTGGCTTCAAACTTCTGGGGTGTCCACTGCACCTTTGGCTTCACACTCACAGCTTCATACACTGCCCTCTCTGGGCACACTGCCTGGACTCCCAGGCCTTCTTCTGAAATCAGAGTGGAAACTTTCCTGGCTCCACAACTCTTTCATTCTGTATGCACCTAAAACCAGTTACCATATGGATGATGCCAAGGTCAGTTGCCAGCTGGAGCAGTAGCCAGGCTTCCCTCTCCTCTTGTTGCTTTTGGAGTTTTCTCTGCCATGTGCCAGCCTACTTTGGAGCCAGTGGATTATGGACTAAAACCTCTACAAACTGAGCTTAACAAACCTTCCCTCCTTTAACTTTAGGTATTACGTATTTGATCCTAGCAATGAGAAAAGTAACTAAGACAACATCCCACTCCCTTTACCTCTTATTGCACTACACTGAAGTATCAGCACATCATTGTACCTGTAAATACTTCTTTATTATTTTTCCAAAACATGTAAGGACTGTTTAAAAAATATAGCTCTGGTGCCATATCATCATCCTGAGACACCCTGTCACTCCTTAGTATCATCAACTACCCAGTCAGAGTTCAGATGTACGCTGTCTAAATCAGGCTCAGGGATGTCCTCTCTTTAGATCTCTCGAGTTTCTTTCCACCTCTTAAATCCCTCTTTCACCTGATTTTCTCTTTCTTACAATATGTTTACTAAAGAAACAAGGCTGTCTCTGGAGCATCTGAAGCCTGGGTTTGGGAGGCTGTATCCCCTGCAGGACACTCAGCATGTCCCTCTGTCCCTGTCTTTCACGTACATCTATGATTTGGAAGAAGTAAACGGAAGCAGTGCAGGTCGATGGTGTCCTTGATGGCTGTGTACTTCATTAGGGGCTGCAGTGGTACTGCTCAAATAGTATCAGTCCTTCGTTTATTGCTGGAAATCTTGCTGGCAACAAACACGCTTTCATCTTACAGCATATTTGGGTGCAGTGAGGTTTAGTTTGGACAGGAGACACAGAATAAATGCCTCCTCCTTTCATTTTGCTGAACTATTCTCCAGGATTTCCACAGGGAGATGTGTTCTTATCATTAAGAACTCAGGGTTTGGACGTCTGTGCTGTGCTTTTGGCCACATGTCCCCAGTGACTCTCAGATGGCCATCTTTGCCAGTGGGAATAGGTTCAAATTGGCTCCTGAGTTCCTTTGACAAAATCTTGGTTTAATAATTTCCTGCTTTGCATCCTACAAGATCTTCCAAGCTTTCTGTATGGATGGTTTCCTCCCAGACCTACAATTGGCTGTTTCCCCAGAAACCACTGGCTCCTTTCTGTGAGAAGCAGTATTTAGAGACCCCACTAGCTGTACTCACTGTGAGGGGCCGGTCATTGACCTCTGTCATTGACCCAAAGGGAGGATCAAATAGATCATATGTACCTACCACTGTTCAGATTCTGGAACAAGGTATGTTGCCTTCATGTCATGCATTTTTTAAATTGAGGTGAAGTACGCCTGATTAAGAACTTTCCGTTGTAGTTCTATGTGCAGTGCCTTTGGGTACATTCCCATCATGATGAAACCTTTGCCTGTCCATCTCCACAGCTCCCTCACCACGACGCTGTCCACCCAGCTGTAAACCTCCCTGCACCCTCGCTGCAGCCCCGGTAGCCCCTTCCTGTCCTCTCCACCTCCACATCTTTCACTGCTGGCAGAGTGTCATGGTGCAGGACCCAGGGACTTGTCCTTCTGTGATGGGCTGATTTCCCTTAGCGTGCTGCCCACCACATGCCTGCTTTCTGTCCCCACGTGACCGTTTCCCTCCTCCCCAAGGCTGAGTACTGCGCCACTGTGCGCAGTGCTCCTTGGGCTCCCAGGTGACTTCTTTGTTGTGAATTAGGCCATTGTTTTCCACAGGTGTGTGGATAACTCTTAGGGCCTCCACTTCCATGTCTTTTCTGTCTATCCAGAAGAGGCATTGCTGGGGTTTGCAGTTCTGTGTGGTTTTGAAAACATAGACTGTTTCCTGCAGTGACTGTCACCTCGTGTGACTGTGTTACATTTCTGTGGCCAGGGCTGGGCCATGCCAACAGTCCCTGTAGTCCCTGCCCAGAGCCAGAACTGAGTTTCCTGCATCTGACACTGAGGTGTCCTTTGCGGTCATCTCAGAAGCCCCCTGGCACTGTGGGGCTCCCCACTTCGTGCCAGCTCCCTGAGTCTCTGGGCTTCCACATCCAGTTGGTTCATGGCCACTGTGTCCCAGCGCCTGACCTGCCGGCTTGATAGTCCACAGGGCTGTCGCCTGGGAAGCCAAGCAGGCTCTGAGTGGGGCGTGGAAGTCACAGCAGAAGTCTTCCCTCACCGACGCTCCTGCCCTCTCTATGGCCGGGCCTGGGAGTCCAGGAACTCTGTGACGGGACAAATAGCCCTGCCTTGCAGTGGGGCTGCTGCACAGGGTCTGCACCCTTGTGGACAGGAGGAACAGCCGGTTCTGCTGGGCTTCTGGGAGGCCCTGGGACTTGGGCTTGGGTGAGGCCTGGCCTCCTTGGAGCCAGGAACAGTGAAGCTTCCAGGCTGGAAGTGGACTCCAGAGGAGGTCCTCTCCGCTGTCATAGCCATGGTGCTTTTGGGTGTGGATGCCACAGCTCTCACTCACAGGACATACAGGACCACCTGGTGCCTCTCTCCTTTCTTTCTTTCTTTCTTTCTGAGGCAGGGTCTCAGTTCACTATGTGGTCCATGCTGTCCCAGAACTCATGGCAACCCTTCTGCCTCAGCCTCCTCACTGGTGGGATTGTAGGTTTGCTCCACCATGCCTGGCTTAGCCTGTGTCATAGATTCTGCTCCTTCCAGCATCATTCCCCCAGCCTGGAAGTGTTTCTGATGAATTTCAAATAACCACAACTTCTCTGGAAAGATCAAATCTGGAATTCATTCCAAAGCCAGAGGGAGAGGATTGTCTTTGTAACAGACCCAAGAAGCAGGACAATCAGATAATAGGGTGTGAGATCCCAGGGGGCAGAGGATGGGCCAGTTGTAGGAACTTGGCAGAGGCAGTGGGACCTTGAGGCTGCAAGCAGGGCATGCAGGATGCCTACGGCAGGTGGGACCAGTGGACTCAAGGCTGAGGTGGGTGGGATGTCCAGGTAGAGAGGGCAGAGCTTCCAGTGGCCTTTATATTAGGCCTTGGGAATGGGAAGGAGCCCCCCAAGTAGAGGAAAGAGCCCCCCGAATAGATGAAGAGCTCTGCAGAGCTCTCAGCACTCAAAGGCAGAGGCTCTGGCATTGGCAACACTCCTGCTGCCAGGGGAGCCAAGACAGGAGACCCAGGGCTCACCGGCGTGCACAGAACCCGGGCTCAGTCTTTAGGACTGTGAGGGACAGGGGTAAGTGCCCTCTGCGTTTCACCTGGCAGAAGCCTCCTGCATGCGTTTCTTGATCCCCACGGTGCCCTGTTGGCCTTGGCAGTGCCCCCTTAGGCTTGCAGAGAGCCTCCGAAGCCTGCCATCCGGCCTGGAGCTGGGTCTGTGGTCCTGTCCCCTCCTCCTCCCACTCTGTGCAGAGTGTGACCATCCCGGTCTCTGTGCCCACCATCACTGCCTCTCGACCTCCCGCACCCAGTCTGTTTAAAGCTGTAAGTGCCTGTTGATTCTGCTGGATGGTCCCCCCGCATGAAGTGCTTCCCAGGAGTGACCAGAGGCTCTCCTGCGGGCAGTGTTGATATTAAGTTTCCTGCCCAGTGTAAACACCTCTCTGGGATGGCATTAATAATGGGAACTGTTTCCCTGGACACAGCTGGGGCGCAGGGGAGCAGGAAGAAGAAGAAAGGGGAACTGCTGTGCACTGAGGAGGGGCCCAGTCCAGTCTCCTTTTCACAACCTCGGCCTCTATTCCTTATTTGGACCACCAACTTTTTATTATTTGGCAGCTGAAAAAGGAGAGGTGATATACAGAGGGCCAACGGAGCCAGCTGGGGAAAGACTCCTGATTTAAATTTCTGCCTTTGTCCTTATAACACCTCCCAGTTCACACACCCGTGAAACTGAGTTGTAGTAGTTGGGTGGCAGGGTATGTGTCTCGTGGCTCGAGACCCTGCATTCAACTTCACTACTGAAAAAACATTAAACAGAATCTTCTTCATGAGGTTATTGTAAGAGTGCTCCTGGATCCCACTACAGTACTCCACAGTAGTGTCTGTAAATGTAGTCACTGTTCACTCAAAGACTGATGGACTGACAGGCTGATTGAGACAGGGTCTCACTATGTAGTCCAGGCAGGGCCAGATCTGGAACAATCTTCCTGCCTCAGCCACCCAAGTGCTAGGAAGCCACCATACCTGGCTTATACACTCATTTAAAGACATGTTATTAGAAGAGGCATTGTTTCAAACAATATCTTTTCAGGTCCACTGATAAAGATTGGGGGTGCACAGGACCCTGGCAAGCTGAGCTCTGGCCTTGTCCTTTTCTCCTTCAGAGCAGGCTCGTTGGTGTAAGCAGAAGCAATGTGGGGTCACAGCTGCTGGACAGATGCCTTTGAGCACATGAGACTCCTTCAAGGAGCCTTCTGAGGCCGTTGGGACGAACTGTCTGCCCCTGGGGAGGTGTGAACATGGAGGAGACATGGGCACTGTGGGGGTGGGCCTGGAAGGAAGCAGGATGGGGTAGGAGCCCGAGAGCCCCCTTCTGCCTTAGATCGTTTCCGAGGAGTCTCTCCTGCGGTCCGAACCAAGTTGCGCTGATGGTTGACATCGTCATGGCTTAAATTAGTTTGTTGAGGCTGCCAGTGTGGGTGCGCACCTGGATTCCCAGCTCTTGGGAGGTTGAAGCAGGAAGATTGCCATGAGCTCAAGACCATCCTGGCTACAGAGTGAGATCAGGGCCAGTACTGGACAGCACTGAGAGAGCCTTTCTCATAAAGCAAAGTAAGAAAAAGATGGATGGATAGATGAGTGGACAGATAGCTTAAATTTATCTGCTGAAAAGTTGGAGGCAGGCCTTGTGAATTTCTGCCCCAAAATGCACTTGACCTGTGGTGACTGCTGGATTCTGAGGGGATCTGGAGAAGGACGTGAAGATTAAGAGAAGCTGCGTATTTGTTCCTTGTGTGGTTTTGGTTCTCTTAAAAGTTCAACATAAACCTCCAACTATGGAACCAGGATCTGGGTTTCTCATGCCCCAGGCTCCACTACAGTAGGGCATGGACTTGCTGACCATACTGGAGGAGCCACGGGGTCACCTGAGATTCAGGCCCTCGTGACAATGCAGGAATTGGATCCAGGGCCCAGTGGGTGTGTGGCTTCCCAGGCCTGTGCTCTATGACGGGACGGGAAGCCCTGTGGGTCATCTGACGGCTCTGCCCAAACCAGGACTGGGAGTGAAGCCAGGAAAAAGTGAAGGCCACGCTCTGCTGGGAGCAGGACTTGATGGCCCCATGCAGGGCCCAGGGCAGCCGGCGGGCAGAGGACTTGAAGTGGGGAGGAAGACAAAGCCAGAGCCCCAGGCCCAGGCCAGCAAGAGTGGTTGGGAGACAGTTGCGACATCGATGGTGGCATTCAGTCCTCACGGGTGCTTCCAGTGCCCCTGCTCCCATCTGGTGCTGCTGCGTTTACTCCCAGTTTTCCCCTGGCAGGTAAGAAGCCAAGGGGACAGGGCCTGCCCACGGCCAAGAAAGGGCTGAGGCAGGCAGATGTCAGCCAGCCCAGCTCCCTGAACCGGCGCCCTCCCGGAATCTGGGTCAGCTGCCCCTGGAATTGCCTCAGCCGGATCAGCAGATGCCAGTCACAGTGGTCAGAATTAGACTGATTTATTTTGCTGCTATAATCCATTCCTAAGTTTTACTTTTTGTAAGATCAGTGCATTATTGATTGAAAAGAAGGAGATCAGGAGTCAAGAGGTGGAAGCAACTGAAGTGTCCACGGATGAGGGATAAAGTGATGCAGTGTATTCACTCATACGGTGGAATATTATCCAGCCTTTGAAAAGGACATCGCCTTTGTGCTGCAGCATGGATAAGCTTTGTGGACTTTGTAGAAGTGAAGTAAACCTGTACCGAAAGAGTGTGCAACATGTGATCCCTGCCATGAGGTGCGGACAGGACTCAGATTCATAGAGACAGTGAGAGCTGGCAGAGCTGGGTCTGAAGATTCCACACCTAGCAGGTACAGTTTTCATTTTGCAAGGTAGAAAAGGTCTTGGAGATGGGTTCACAATAGTGTTGATCTGCACATTTAATTTGGTTACAGGAGTCGCTGCTAAGTGTGTGTCACCACAGTTAGAAATTAAAAAGTATAAAAGTGGGAAAAGAGACAACGCAGGATTTTAGCAGTGGGAAGGTCTTGGGTGCAATTCCCAGTCCCACGGGTGCAAGAAGGGAGGGAGGGAAAGCTTGTTTTTCTGGCTCATGAGTTGTTCTTTCTCACTGAGTCTTAGTGACTCTGCTGTTACAGCCTGGCTGATAACCAGGCAGATTATTCTTGGTGTAGAGGCGGAAAATAGTGATTTAAAAGCTTTTTACTCGAAGCAGCTAGCCCATCTCTGATCTATCAATATATTATGGTTTATAATTCACATTAAAATTTTGTCACATTTTTATAAGGAAGTGAATGTATTAATTTTTTGGTGCATAAATCAAATCAGAATAAAAATCTTCATTTGAAAAGAAAAATTGCTGTTGTTTGGGTGTTTCACACTTTTTCTAAGATGTCTGCCAAGTGGAGGAAAGTTATTTATTGGTAGAGGGGGCCCGAGACCAGCCCACCAAGCACTGGCCAGCCCAGGACCTGCAGGTGGAGAGGAGAGGCTGGTGGGGCTCTGTGCCACCTCCAGTCCAGCTGCATTATAGTTGATTGATTTGCAAATGTTCTCTGAGCTAAAACATGCTGAGGCTAGAGACAAAGGAGAAAGGAAGTGAATGTAGTCAACTATGTAAGATCTGCCTAGAATTTGGGTTAACTCCAAAATATGACTGGGGAGGGAAGAGTAAAATTACCAAAAAAATCTAAGCGATTGTGATAGTTGTGATGTCAGTTTGAATGAGAAAGAGCTCATGAATTAGGGAACTATAATTGTGTGTCTATGAATGACTGCCATGTGGTCGGCTGTCTGAGGAGGGAATGCCCACCCTGGAAGTGGGGAAACCAACCAATGGGTTTGCAGCCTGAGCGAAATAAAAAGGGAAAGAAGGAAGCCTCCCCTTTGGCTTCTTTGGAGAAACCAGTCTTTGCCTTGGCCTGTGGATTTTAGTCTCCAGTACTCTCAGTCTTCCAGTCTTTGACCTTTAAATGCAGATCGTTGGGACCCTTCAGCTTTCTGACCCAAATTGCAGTGAGCTCCGGGTCTCTGGCCATGGCTGGATCCTTGGGCTCCCAACACACAGAAGCCTGTTTCACAGGCGGCCATTGGAAACCCACCTGCTGAATCCCAAGGAAACCTGAGTTTCGGAGGAGGAGGCTACAGGCAGCAGTAGCTGGGGAGGGGGCACATTTGCTTGCAGAACAGGTTTATACTACCTGGGAAAGACAACGAAAGAAAGGTGTACCTCTCTCCTCCTCCTTGGAAAACTCCCAGAATACAGTAAACCTCATGTCCAGTGATACCAGGAGGCAGCTCATACCCTCAGCTGGCAAACACTGCCAAAAGTGGTAGAAATCCAGGCCACGTGGAGGGACAGGCTCTGAAGCCGGTCCACACTTCTCCCACACTTCTCTCTCTCTCTTGCTGGGGGGAAATCTTAATAAAATACACAAGCTTGGGTATGAAGCAGCCGTGTTTTCATTGTCACAAGTGAAAGTAAAGACATTTCTTCAGTAAAGAAATATGTCAGTCTCTGTGAAGAAAGCTATTACACTATACTGAAATGCTTTAAAAAGACAAAATGGAAAAATACTGCATTCTTGGACTGGAAACCTTCACAGTATTCTTTATTCCAAACCCCCACCCCCAACAAATCTGTACATTTAATGCAGTCTCAGGAAACATCCCAACAGGATTTCTTAAATGCAACTTGTCAAGTGGATTGCAGAGTGTATGTGGAAGAGTTATTGTACAAGAATAGCCAAGATAATTTTTAAAAAGAATACTTAAGAATAGGGAACTTGCCTTATCAGAAATCAAAACAAACCAGAGAGGTGCTGGCGCGGAAACTAATCCTGCTGTGCTCATTGCAGCCCGGCTGAGCCGGTGACTGATGACTCCCTGGAGCTCCGCCAAGGCATTAGGCACAGGGACGCCCTGGAATAGAAAGACCTGCATACGCCTCCGATCCTTTCACATATCAAGCACAGCTAAACAGCGCCAGGCATTATGGAGAGAATGTAAATGTTACACACCTTTCCATTGCAAAGCTAATCAATCCTCCAGGGAGAGCAAGGTGGATCTGTGCTGACATAGAAAATGTCCAGATAGCTCTGCTTCCCTGAAGAAGCTGAGCTGCAGAGGAGCGTGTGTGGCAAGGTCCTCTTCCAGCTCTGGGAAAGGACTCAGTGCCCCACCTGGATGACACAGGTGTGGCAGTGATGTGTCACTTACAGTTCCCACACAGCCTCCAAACAAAGGCCTTCAGAGCTGTTTCCTGGTTTGGCTGTCGTTTTCCGCTTCTGCCACCAGGCTAGTGTGACCCACCTGGAGGTTTCAACCTTCAACCTGAATCCCAGCGGGAAGCACACACACATAGCAAGACCACAGCCAGCTCTTAGCAGACGTGTAAGGCGAACAGCCAAAAGTTAAAAATCCTGAGTATTGTATACCCGAGATTGCAGTCACTGATAAAGCATGTTTTATACGTTTGCTTTTCAACATGGCTAGCAGGAGCCTTACCTACCCTGGAGAATCTTTTCTCATGTATCTAACCAGATCCATACACAGATGCCTATTGAAACATTGCTCTTCCCACACAAACTGAAAATGACCGGAATACACATCAGTACGTGACTCGGTTTAACTGCTTAATAGAGCACTGAGTGGCTTACCAGTACACATTTACTTCTCCTGGTTCTGAAATCCTGTAAGTCTGAGATCAAGGCCCAGACTGGCTGGCACAGCTGAGTCAGGTGAGAGCCTCTTCCTGGTGGTGGAGGTCATTGTTTGTCTCTTCTTCCAAGGGCACTAATTCCATTCAAGAGGGCCACACCCCCTGGCCCAATTACCTAAGCACCCACCTCTAAATGCCATCCTGTGTTGTGGGTTAGGATTCCGAGTGAATTGGGGAGGGAAATGGACACGAACATTCAGTCCATCGAAATAAGGCAGTGAATAAATTAAATGTGACAGGTTAATATAATGGCAAATACAGATCCATGGAAATAAAATAGGTCCACAGGGACTGACATAATTAAAATCCAGAAACAATAGTAACATAAAAAAGAGAGAAAGATTGGAATGCCAGGTTACATAGGGGAGTTGACTGTATCTGCAGTGTTTTATTTCCTTAAAACAGGCTGGGGCTGGGGCTGGGGCTGGGGCTGGGGCTGGGGCTGGGGTGTTGCCCAGTTGTAGAGCACACGGTTAGGGTGGGTGGGGCCTATCCTTGTCCCTGCCAGGGGAAAAGAATTCTGAAGCAAATATGGTAGCATGTTAAGATCTGACAAAACTCGATGGTGGGTTTAATGGTGTTGACTGAAACAGTGAATAACGAAAATAGCTTTTTTTCTTTAAAAGTCAGCTTGTAAATTTAATATATAGAGTGAAGGCATTCATGAAAAGTTAAGAAGCCAAAGCAATGTTTATGTTGTTCTGAGGCATGGATGTGTGTGAAAGCATGAGAATGGCTCAGGAGGTTAAGCACTAAATTCAGAATAGTCGCTGGATAGGAGATGGCAAAGGAAAGTAAAAGGAATTATTACATCATGCTGTCTACTTTTCCACAATTTATAAATTCCTAAAAATCATAATGAAATAGATGTCTTAAAAAAAAAAACTGTTATCCACCATTACTTCTAGGGATGAGATACCTGTGATGATGCAGACTTTTTGTTTTGTATGATAGCTGCCTTTACTGTTTGAATTTTATAGCCGTTATCAGCTATACAGTTTGTTTTGTTTTGTCTTGAGCCAGGGTCTTGCTATATTCATTCTGGCCTTGAACTCATTACAGAGCCCAAGTTGGCCTCAAACTTGCATCGATACTCTTGCTTCAGCTGCCAAGTGCTGGGATAACAAGCATGCACCACATGTCCAGCTTTTATACAAATTCAAGAAGAAAACTCGAAAGTATATAAATGATCAGAATTGCAGTGTAGACCATGGGTTAAGTCCTGCGGTGGGAAGCTGGATGTGATCTTTTTACTTTGAGCAGGGTGGAACAGACCAGAAGTCAGATAACTGCTGGGGACCTCCTCTGCTTCTCCTCTGGCCAGGCATGGGAGGTGTGGTCTCTGACTGCCCCCATCCGCCTCAGTGGTAGAGTTTGGGTGTCCCCTCAGCTGCTCTGTTGTCCTCTTGCATGCGAGAACCATCCTCCAGTGTCACTAGTAAACAACCTTTTAATCAGTCCTGAGCACTCCTCAATTTGGGTTAAATAAGATTTTCTTTTTAAGAAAGATTGCTGCCGCTTAAAAACACAAACAAGTGACAGATTAAGGCCATCCTAAACTGCATAGTGAGCACTTGTCTCAAAAAAACAACACAAAACCAAGTGACGGAGGAGTCACCAGTGTAAAGTAATGTCTAGAGCTTGCATTGATTTGGTACTTATCTGTCCAGTGCTCACCTGTATAGTTTCAAGCTGGGAATGACCATGGTGGTCACCAGCCGCCAGCCTAGCCAGACTAGCTGAACTGCCCGGGGCAGTGCCACAGAGCAGAGGCCCTGGCCCCACAGAATCTCTGCTTTGTTTTCTGTTAACCACCCTGAGCTGAGCAGAGCCCACAACTGCCAACTGCTGTAGATTTTGCTGCATTTCAGGCAGAAGCATGTGGGTAGGGGGTGGATTAGCAGGAGAGAAGATGTAGAGTGCTGGTGGTTGGAGCTTAACCTTGGTTCAATTAAGTAATCCCCCAAGAAACCCTGAGAGGGGAAGATAGACCCCTTTGCCCCCTCCCCTCCTGCAAAGCGTAAATCTCCCCTGAATTCAGGGCAATAAAGAGGTCACATTATATCTCCATAAATCTCCCGCTGGCTGGCGGCTGGCTGCTGCCATCCCCGAGGTGAAGGGGAAGTTGTT